CACACAGATAATCACAATAAAAAATAAGAAATTAATATATTTTTCATTATTCCATAATTAGTTAGTCAAATTTCATAAACTCGTTAATGAAATCTAATAAAAGATAGAGTGCTTGAAATAAATTTACTATAATTAATTGAATCGTAGCTATGTAAAAATTAAAAATCGATAAATATTTATTTTAAAATATTTATTTTAAAATATTTATTTAAAAAAAATTGAAATTATACTTTAAAGACAAAAGACAAATAAATGACTGATTTTATGCAAGCTATCCGGCATATGTATGCTTTAATTGAATAATTGTTGAATATTACACGATTAATTTCTAAACAAAGTATGTGTGTATAAGCTATGACGATCGTATAAATTAAGCGACGCGTACCCGAGTAGAAATATTAATACGAGTAGTAATATTAATAACAGTTCCTAACCGGAGTATTATTATTTTTACTCGGAAACATTAAGGCATTTCTGAGAAAGACCTTATTAAATCCCGATCAAAAGGACCTCGTTAACTAGTAATAAAAGTTTATTCGGTTCCGTTTATGCTCTATTCGGGCCAATCCTACTAGGTTAAACCCGAAGAAAACCATATCAGGGCCTTATAGTACGTCGGGTATATTTCTACTCGGGTAGAAGAATCTCTTCGAAGAAAACCACTGAAAATATTTCTGTGGTAAGAGGCGATCGGACTAGCTAGTAACTTACAAGCACAGTTTTTCATCTAAGCTGGTGAGGAACGACTATCCGCGCCCTTGATGGGCCACAGGCTAATCGCCTGGAACGCGAGAATCAGACCGCAACCGAAGAAGCGAAGGGAAAGGCAGAAAAAGACGGCGGACGAAAGCGGTGTCATGAAAGATCGAGGATTTTTCTCTGAATTTTACGCATCACGAAACAGCGCTGCAACGCCGGCGTAGCATGCTACGTGATTCGTGAATAAAAGATATATAAATGTTACGGCGTGGCATAGCGCGGAATGTATATCGATATAGTCATTGTTTACTGCTGCATTATTAACATCAGTTTACGAGCGCCAACCTTCAAGTTCGGTCACGATCGATTATATTTCAAGGACGAGGATAATATTTCCCTTCCAACGTAATTATTATCCGTAATTTTATTTTTTTTTTTGGAACATCATCATGTCGCAATATGTATGAAAAATAACCATCGTAATAATGTATACATTTTGAACGTAAGCCTATGATCAGAAGCTTATGATCATGCGGATACAATATCCGCAGAATAAGGAACTAATATAAGTGCTATACAACGACTATTCTTCCAATAATTATAACTCTTCTATATAACGGTAAAGATACAACCTTCTTTGCGCGCGATGCGAGTTAACATTCGAGCGGAAATAGATAAATCATTCGCACATGCGTGTACTTTTGCGCATCGATCGCACGCGGAGAGTCAATTAACCCGTAATTAAACCTACCATGATACGTTAAGTATCGTTACCGCCGCAGTCAGTGATTAGCCAAGTTATCCGTTCCATTATGCCGCTAATGGATAATGAGACGGGCGTGGCAGCGGCGAGAGAAGAGTCACGTTAATTCGGTGCTTCGAACGAAAGCTAGTTATCGACCGGTCACGCGAGCTTTTCTCACGGCGAGCGCGCGACGCGTTCGTAAAAGTTGCGTAATTTTCGCGCGGTTCCACGCTTCGTTGAGATTTAAATCAGAGCACTCCGGTCGAATCCGTGGGCGTCGATCCGAGAAATCAAAGCTCAAGTGTGGATATAAGTCGCGACGTTCGTCACGATGGAAGAGATCATAAAGCGCGGAGACGACATTCCTGTCGAGTCACCCGTGAAAAGCTTCCGCTTTAGACGCTTCCATCATCCCGATAAGCCGACAAGTTGAAAAGTCAGCGCGCATTGCGATGGATGCTCGTAAAAACGAGATTAAGATGTGTCAGCCGCATTTAATCGCACGATTAAATGAGATCGTTCGCTTCTCGACGGCGACGCCCCGGAAGAATACGCGGCGCGTAACGAACGATTTGTCGCTTTCCCGCATTTCTCGCATGAATTATCGGTCGCCAAAATATTTTCTATCATTTTCAGCTCTTACGATAATAACTGTAAATCTTTTGAGTTTTCCAATTAATTAAAAAAAAAATCTAAATTATTTCCATTCTTCTAAAAATTAGTATAATGTCGATTATCATCGAATGTGCCTTCGGAAAGGTCAAGCAAAGTTGGTCAGCAAAAGATTACATTGATTTCAACTCACGATCGAGGAAACTGGAGCGTTTCCGGGATTATGATCCAGAGCGTATTGACAACAACGTCACTTATATATAGAAGATCTGGGGCCTGAAGGAATACAAGCTTCAGAACTAGCTGTAAATTAACCACATGTCACGATCCGGTATTTCTTTGTGCAAATATTCTTACACGTGTATATATGTCACGCTATATACGTCGTTTACATATCATAACGTACGGTCAATATATCGCTAATATAAGTTTACGATTTCATATGTTGAAGCATTTTCTCAAATGCTGTATCGTATTCTGTGTAACTTTTTCGCAGTTTGCGATTTCAAAAGGACCTATCACCAAAATCATTGATTTTTAATAAAAAAATTAACACTTTTTCACACAAATTAAATGTCTCAAAATTAAGAAGGATATTAGAACAAATAAATCAACGTTGTACGTGCTCGAAGGATACAAAAGCGGAATAAATCGCGACAAAAGTCACAAGACGAGGCTTTCTGAATGATATATCTGCGGTTAATTGGAGGCACTACAGATCTAAACGCAATTCCGTTGCATCCAGGTATTGTACGGCGCGTGTGTGCATGAGCAAATGCACGCACATATACGCATCTCAGCATCTGTCGGAGTGGCTAGATCGTCAGTGATCACTTCCTTTCTCGGTGCATGCAAACCAGTGCACGATCCTTCCGAGCACTGTGTGGTTAATGTCCCGTTTGATTGGTTGGTTCTGCAATGGTACGCGATCGCGGTGAACGATCCATCGGCGACGATCTCCCGCGAGATCGAGAACAACCTCGTCTTCGAAGCCTCTTTTTCGCTAATCTCAAATGACGAGCGTTTATGTTCGATCTTGTATTTGCTACATCGGGTCTCAAGAGAGCTTTATCGATATTTCAGAAGAAGTAGATCGATAGATCTTTCGTGTTATTTAGACTAACAATTTAAGGTTTGAATATTTTATGAAAGTTTAAAATATTGTGAATATTTTTATTCTTCTCTTAGATTACTATTTTTAGGAAATTGAATATCGTTTTATGTAAATATATTATTTTGCAAAAATTGCAATATTCGTGAAAACCCAATTGACTAGAATGTCGTGCGGAACTTTAAGTTTGATTTTCAATTATAATCTGCAATCTATTGTTCAAAGAAAAAAAGATGAAGTATATAATGAAAAATTGATTTCATTAAATCATGTGCGATGTACGGTATCCATATATTTAATGAATCTAAAAAATGTGAGCTATTTCCTTTCAACATCCACAGTCGTAACTTATCCATGTTATATAACGAGCTGAGATAAACGTTTATCGTTATCATTATTCGCTGATGTCAGTGAGAAAGCATAGTAAAGATGGTCGAGAAATAAACTTGAAAGAAACTGGGGCAATGTGCGGACGAGGCAAGATAACCAATAATTAATAATTCACAAGATTGCCGATAAGTGGTAATACATGACGATCAGTAATTGTGGAATATGCTGCTGTGGAATATACGCAGCAAATAATACCTATGCTACTCTAAAACAGGTTCTACATTAATGCTGTTATGTTTTATAATTATACTATTACTACATACAAGCGCGATATAAGTTTTTGATGAATTTAAATAAGTTGAAAGAAATGTGTACTATACTTTTTCCCACAATCGTAGCTGATCGATGTCATATAACAAATTCACGTTAAACTGATTCTATGACATTCGTGTCAAAAGAAGCTGAATTTAAAAATTTTTGTCATTTATTTTCATTATGCGATAAAATGAACACATATAATATGAATATTTTTATCTTGTCTTATCTTTCTTTTGGCTTTTTTTCTACGGATTTCTGTTTTCCAAAAAATTTATACATATCGTGGATCCAAGATGAGATCCAGTCCCGTGGAGAAAAGAAATTTGGCGCGCGCCCGATTGATGACACTCTCTACTACTCGCGACGTCGTAAAAGCGCGGCAACAGTAACACCGATTTACGTCCATAACGGGAAGATGATATTCTTGCCGCGCTTCTTTCGAAAGAAAATGATAATTATTATTTAGGCCGTTGTAAAAAGGCAGTGTATAACTTCTCGGAAGGTCGGATACAAGCACCGGATAATAGATTTAACCAGATACATGTTGCCGTTCCGCTTTGAACTAATCGATTAGGCATTTTTGAGGGAGCCTCCCTTCGCGCACGGCGGCGCGCTTTTTCGATATCAGTGCGGCGAATCGCGGTCAAGCTCGTGAAAAACGCGCGCTTGGGGTAATATTTCTGATCTTCACGTAAATTAGTCGGTAATCAGTACTTAATGCGATAGCGGAAAATAATCTACCACGAAGATCGAGCCACGATTTCGTATCGAGGTAAATTACATGGATTCGTAAACGCATTATTTTAATTCACCGGCCCGGAGGTATAATTAATGACCGGCCACGACGACTGTAATTACGTTATTTACGTATTTTCCGTGAAAAAATATTGCAAGATTATTATAATATCGGCTCGGTCTTCAATGTTACGAGAAGAAGGAATACAGTGAAAGACATCATAATGCAAATCGTTCAGTCTAATCCTGAAACGTCGCATAATACTGCCATAAGAATACGACGATACGATACTAGAGAAATTTATGCGAGCTAAATAAATTGATTTCGTGAGATTTTCCGATATCGTTCGGTAATAAATTCTCAGCGTGTTATTTCAGTATTGAAACGGTTCGAATTATCCGCATTTAAATTTGCGCTTCAATGTAGTAACATGACGAATTTTTACTCACAGCGTGATCTTCCGGTCCATCCTTGCGTTCTCCATGCTACCCTGCGATCTCCGTCAACCCCTCGCGATCGTCCGATGTGAGCAGTTATTATTGAGGTCTCACCCGAGGTCTCTATCGCACGAGTCACAGAACACACGCAGAAAGCGAAAGGTATACACGGATGTACGGCCGCAGTTTCCGTTCACCACTCGCCTGTTGCACGCGGATATCGAGTCCTCCTCCACTTGCGGCGCGTAGAACGCGCGCGTAATCACTTCCACTGCGGAAGTCAATCGGACATGCCGCGCGCGCGACGAAGACGACGACGACAATTCCCCGAGGGCGACGCGGACGACCGGAGAAGAACAGTGTAGTGATCGCGCGCGGCCGAGTCTCGCATCAAGTACCGAGACTCTGCCTCTTCCTCTCTCCGTCTCTCTTTCCTTCTCTCACCGTGGATAGAGAGCGAACGGTGATTTCGCGCGGCGTGAACCTCACGGCGACGCCGGCTGCGAGAGGTGTGTGTGCCTAGAGCCGAAATAGAGCAACGTCTGCGCGCACTGTTCCTCGGCCGTAACACTCCTGCCGCGAGATAACCGCCGCGCCGGTCGGTGGTGGCCGCCGCGCTCTTCTTCCACGGTCGCGGAAGGTGGGAAGATCGCGGAGAAGGACGCGGAGCGTAGGATAGCGTCGGTGTGTGGAGGTGACCGCGCGGTGACGGTGATGACTACGGTGTGTGGAGGTGGCGGTGACGTACTGTGTGTGGTGGTAGCGGAGAAGGTAAGTGACGGTGGGTGATGGTGACGGCGGCGGTGGTGGCGGTGGTGATGGTGGTGGGTACACAGAGAGGATGCTCACTGTATGGAGCACTGCACCGTAATGACATGGTCTAGGAGATGCCAGTCAGTTTTGTAATAACGACGGTAAAAAGTGAATTTCCACCTAGGTGGGGAAACGCGCCTAGGGCCAATCCGAGGATCCGCTGCCCACCACGGGCGACCAATCGGAGCGCGACACTCCAGAATGCGACTATTCTTCCTCTTCTTCTTTGTCTTCGTCTTCTTCTTCTCCTTCTTCTTCTTCTTCGTCTTCTTCTTCGCGCTTCTTCTCTTCGCCCGGTGCATCCTTGACATCCCCTTGTGCGCCTCCCCTGCTGCACCGGAATGGCTCAAAGGTGCTTGGCTTTGGGCGAAAGTCTTTGTGATGTTTCACGGAGCTCGTGGAAATTGAATAATCTGCAATCATTATGTCATTACGTTCCGCAAGTGTCCATTAAACGGAAATTGTTGATGCGCCGCGTTAAGTATGGTATAGGTGATACAATGTAATGTAGGAGCGCGGCAAAGCGTGTGCTCCAAAACTGTTGTTTAAAGGCAACTTCGGATGAGATACGCGAACATGTTATAATCTCGGCTGGATTATATTATTTAGGATGATCTCATGTTTGTCGTTCTAATTAGTTAATTGTGATTGCAATTAGCTTTCGCAATCTCGACACAAGCTAATTAATTCCAACGACCTCCGCGCAAACCGGAGGCGCATAATAGACTGACTTGTACTTGTTAAGTCTGTCGTTCTTTGTTACGCTAAATATTTCAATCATTATTAGAAATCTTACGGTTTCTGATGATATTTTAATTGGACGCTGTACTACATTTTCAGCACGTCTTGCTAACAAGATGTGCAATAATCAGTTAATATATTCACAACTTAACGCGTCTCCGGTTCTCTGTGTGTTATCGCTTGATCGCACACTCCTTAGAATAACGGAATATTTCGGTTCTGAAATTTATTCCCTCTCAAATCATTTCAAATACAAAGAATTTGGAAAGCATGACGAATTCATCAACATCAAAATTTGAGGTATTGTAATTCATCGCGACAGTAGTGAGTATCATAAATGATCAATTTTGCGAAATTAGCGTGGATAATGACTTTCTCGATGCAATTATACGAGAGAAGCAGAGTGTCGCGGAGAAACGTGAAAATCGGACAACGCATCACGGTGGATAAAAGACGCACGTCTCGTTGTCAGATTTCGCAAAACGCTACGTTACGGTCGGGTGTTATTTCATCCATCTCGTGCGATTCGAATTTAATCGTAATAGGCGGTACAGTTAAGGTGGTAGCTATATCAGTAATATCGCAATAATGTATGCGCCGACGTCTCACTCTGGTATGATAATTGTCGAGAGATACGCTCGATATTGATATGAAAATACCGCGATTCACGGCGGCCGCAACATATGTTGCACGCATCAATACGCAGAACGATATAAGTCGTTCTTTATTGCATAACAGTAACGTATTTCTTAAAACCCGGCAAGCGCCGCTCGGTGCATCCTCGGTATTCTTATTGCTTCGTATATATCAGGACAGGTATGTGCGCGGCTAGGATACGTTTTACAGCTGTCGATGAAGTTGCGAGTCGACAAATTTTACCGTTCGCTCTCCCATTGCGTTTCCGTCGCACTTGGATCGATCGCCAATTAAATGCTCGAAGAGATTCAGGCTCCATTGTTATTAAAATCTCTTGTTATTATAAACATACGAAAACAAATATAAGTGTAATATTATCAAAAATTATTCGGCCGCGGAAACTAATATACCTTTTAATGTTATTACACGCAAGTTTATACTACTTGATAATTATCAACATAAATATTTCTCAGCCAATCTATCGTAATTTATTGCTAGCAATTTCACTCGGCCTTGATTTACGCCGCTTAATTAGCGCAAATCACACGAAAGATTAAGACCCGAGTCCTTCGCGTGCGAACGCAATTGTCGCCTTGCTCGCGGAAGAGCGGCGCGGAAGAGCGGCGCGTAAGAAAGCTGGACGTCCGAATCACTCATCGGCGACTTTCTGCGGCTGGTTACAGTTACAGGAGTCATTAATTCACTACGGACAATAAACGCGGACACGCTGCGCGAATCTTTGCAGAAGCCGCGCGTCAGAGAAGTTTATCATTTTTTTCTCGCCCGGCTCGTATCAGCAGGCGATAGAGTGGAGAAGGAGAAAGAGAGAGAGAGAGAGAAAGAGAAGAATAGGATGACGAGCGAGATGACGAGGGAGAAAGGGGGAAAGCGGGAGGGAGCGGAAGATGGAAGCAGGGTAGCGACTCTCGAGCGACTTCTTTTCAATTGTAGTAAAAAGGACTATTGTTCAGCAGGAACTACTGTCGCTTGGTGAAGCGTTTCCGCGAAGATTCCGCTTCGCACTCGGCTAACGGCATCACGCACATCGTCCGTAGGGAAATTGCCCAAGTGCCGGTACCGGCAGGCATTTCGCGATAGGCGGCTTCCGCGGGCGCAGCGCGCAAGAAAGAATGCTCTTTCAAGACCAAGTCCGTTTTGCTGCTTTGAGTAAATCTTTAATGATAAACGCGCTTGCTCCGGCATTCTTGCCCTACTTTCCTCCAAGCGTGCATTGTTGCAAGAAAATAGCTTCATTATATCGGAATTTAAATTGATTTCATTACAATGGCAGATCCAGTTTAGCTAAATAATTAAATTTAAATGGATAAACTATAAAAACAGTAAATTTTCAAAAAGTGCGTATGAATTCTATTTCGAGTGTGAAATTGTACGAAATCAATCAGCGATGTGAAGGCTTGCAATCTCTGTGTTTCTGGAAACACGCACGTTCACTCACACTTGCAGTACACTCGCATAACGGGAAGCGTATGCAGAGAACTTTGCGAAATTGACGGCACAGAGACAAGCGAACGAGCTTCTTCTTGTACGGGGTGGCTGTGCGAACGCGCGGAGAAGCCACCGCGCGAGCGATACGATACGATACGCAGAGAGAAAGGCATAATAAACCACTTTGATCGGTCTGTAATCTCGATTCTCTACAGCGAAAACACTTAAGTGATTCGCGAATATAAATCTCGCTAACAAAATTTACTTAGAATCCAGAAGTTAGAACCATGATCGTGGAACTTTAGCCTTATATTATTACGCCACCGCGCACCACGACCGGTAATATATACTTCATACGCAAAATATGTTGTGTTCCGCGCAAAACGGCGTTTACGAAAGTACGTATTACGCTAAACGATGATGGCCGGTCGAAAACAATAAAACCGTGCAACGGTGAGACGCGCGAAGAATATTGAATGCGCGAAGGCGCCGCCGTTTCGAGAGAGGCTCCCGCGCGTTCGCATAACGGGAAACGTATTCCGCGATATTGACGAAATTGACGGCAGGGAGGAATTTCCTTGCGTGGCGGCGTTTCGCGCGGACCGACGCCGGACGCGGCGGCGGGGCGGAGAGGTAGAAGAAGCCGTCAAGGTTCCGGGTTCGATTCCCAGGGCTGCTGCGAAGAAACGGCGCTTCTCTCCCTCGCTGTGCGATCTAGATCGCGATGCCCCAAGTACCTACCGACCGAGAGAAACACGAGCTATGGTGGCGATAAATTATTGCAGTACGGATGATTTCGCGAGGGCCAGGGGTCAACGCCGGGCCGAATACGGCGCGGCGCGAAGGAGGGAAGAAGAAGACGTTGAAGCGCCTGCTGCCTCCTCACTCGAGACTAAAACTATATTAAGCGGCGGGCGATCGGGATCTCGTCCCGGGTCTAGCATAATGCAGTAACACGCCACAATGAAAGATAATTAAGAGATAATGAAGTCGAGGAACGCGGCTCGTTGCGTTCACGCAGAATTGCGTGTCGGAAGGTGCGCGGTTTGATCGACGATGGTTTTTAATTACACCTACAGTCTATCCAATAATATATTTACTTTACAATTAGTATATTATTTTGTTTGTAAGGCAGAAGTAAAACAATATATTTTATGTGGAAGTATATTCACGATTGATTTCATGATCTTTGATTGAAATTCTATTCTCTAATGTGAGAAATTTATGGTCAATTCCTTTTGTGACCTTTGATTCGTGACGTATCTAGATCTTTTTTGTAGAACAAATTTTTGAGACCGTTACATCCTAGATCTTACGTACGCAGATCTTAAGATATTATTCCAATCAAACGTTCAAAGGGTCGTAACAAACGCAGACGAACGGTAAACGCCACATAAAAAGAAATTACCCATGAGAACATGTAAAGAGATGCGCGATTCCGTGTTTACTTCGCCGAATACTCCGAGGTAATCATCTGATAAAAGGATCTTGCCGCGTATTCTCGTACACTCCCATCTTTATATGCGTGATATTAGAATGATTGAAGATAATTAATCTCAATACATTCAATATCAATATATTTATCTCGTAATAGCCGGCGAGCATCTAGGTCGCCACATCGATTCCTTCGATAGTCGGTAACTAATCGCGATTCAACGCTCGTTAACATTCCGCTCCGAAAGTCGACAGCTTTGGGAAACATTCTGAATGCCCGCGCAAAAGAAGTTAAGCGATGCGTCGCGGATGTGCGCGCTTCGGAGCTCGCCGCGCGTTCCAGAAAATTGCAATCTCGAATCTGCTTTCCACGATATTGCGCATTCTTATTCCCGACTGATCTGCCTACGATAGAATCCAACTTCCTTGTGAGGCTGGAAGTTAATTTCGTAGAGCGCTGATCTGTTGCGTGAAACGAATCGGATAACGTGCGTGCATCGCCGTAAATCAAGAAAGAGAGAGAGAGGAGATAATAAACGCTAAGGATAGATAACAAATGCTACATTGTTCCGTAATTACGAGACTTTTCGGAGACGGCTAAAAATTGATTTAAACTTTGATCTCAGCAGGTTGCTCTCGGCTGCAATCAAGGAATTATCGCGCATCTGAACGCACACGATAAATCACACCCGCGTAATGCTTTTATAAGCGACTTAATTGCTCGCGCAAGTTGTGACAGGCCGAAAAAGACGATGCGTCAATTCGACTGTAACGATTGAAATAATTCGATGAGAAAGCCGCGATTTTCTGGATCGCTCGGCCGAAAGAATTTACGTTAAACCGCGTAAACTCGGCAATGACAATAGAATACTGCTACTCCGGTGAAGTGAACGAACCGATCCATGTCCGTTACATCTGCCGTTAGTGATTTACAGGCAATCCGCTTTCCATTATCCTTTAATCTAGGTCTCTAGTGACAGATACTAAGCGCGACAAATGCATTATGAAAAGAATATTACCGTGCGAAACTACGAAAAAAACGCGCCGGTTAAACGGTGCCTCGCACTCCTTCCAACATTCGCGCGATTCTACGCGGCGATAGTCAAAATTGTCATCGCGATCTCTCCAGGTTTTTTTTTTCTTCCTTTTCCACGGT